TTTTTTTATTAGCTTCGCCAAACAAACAAACAAACAAACAAACAGACCTTAGAAAGAACATTGGCAGGGACACCGCAACAGCCGTTGCCAATTAAAGCGGGCCCAGACACTAATAAAACATGACATATTAAAAAGCACAGTAATAGAAAAGAAACAACAGCTACATACAACAAGTTGTTGGACGAAACATGGGACGAGCACTATTACATTAAAGCAGATAGACTTCAACGAACGTGGGTCTTCACGATCAAAGGAAACAGCTAATGCAGACTTATGATAGTTAAAAATATTACATATTAATAATATTAAAAATTACAAATTACAAATTACAAATTCCAAATTAAAAATATTAATAAAAATCTACATGCATAAATTGATAAAGAAACAAAAGCAGCTAAGGTGGAACTCCTCCTCCAAATTTCCCAAAGTATCTCTTCAATACGTGTTCCATACTCGCAATTAATTAACAATTAAGGAAGCCTTGAGTATGCTCTGGTCTTTTGTAAAGAAAACGGCCAGAGAAATCTAGGAGGAAACGCAAGACGTAGTCGAGTGTTGTTTCTCGCTACTGCTTTAACATCTGTTTTACAATGAAGATTTCGTCAAATTCCCAACGCATCATTTGCTATTTTCAAAATAAATTCTAATTTTCGAAGCAAACAAAAGTGTCGTCGGTATATTCTACACTATCACAAAACATGCCACAATGAGCCAGTCGGAATCCGTGCAAGAATGATTCAAATAATCCGATTGGTTGAATAAGACTTCAGCCGTCAAAAATGTCAAACCATCAATGTTCACAATCAAAATTTTTACCTGAAGTTTTCTATTCTTGATACAGAATCACGGTGAAATCAGGCCGAACAGTGTCTCGTTATAGCATGCAAGGTTTTCCAAAGGGCATTAGCAAGCGAACTACCCCAGGCGTATGTTTTATGAATGAACGAAAGCCAAATTCTTAGGAACTTGAAGATCGCTCAGGAAGACAGCGCCGTAACATACGGCTGTTGTGACTGATGTGGCCTTCCACTCAACGTAACGGATAGGACATTAGAGTAAGCCCTTAGTTGTTCTCTCTGAGTTTCTGAGGCATGCGTCACTGCGATGACCGGAGATCAGGAGTCGCTTTACACCATCATAATTTGTATGAATTTGAACAATTATGCTAGTTTGGTTATATTTTCAAGTTTTATTAATGGCTTTTTTGTTCTGTTATATTTTTGAATACGAAAATATGTACTATACGACTGTTGCCTATGGTTACCGTATAAAAGCTCACACTTTGACTCAGCGCGAAAACATTCAAGCAGTCCTTTTCATTTTCTCTTTGAGGATTTTTGTCTCTTCTCAAGTAATGATAACGTTAATTACCGCAGCTGGCTTGTTTACAAACCGTTGTTTGGTTCTTCTGTAGCCACTTGCCGGATCGTTTGTTCCCAAATATAGCTCTCAGCTAAGGAAAACTAAAGTAGAGAGAGGTCTGGGAAATTGTGGAAGTACAAATTGGCCGATGGCGGACAGCTTTAGCTCAGCTCCGTGTTTTGTAATCTAGTAGAACACCCTCTTTAAGCCATTAACAGCACACATTATATCCGAACTTTATTATAATATAATTAATGTTAATGAAATAACCTGTGATCCTGATACACAGACCTGCATCTCACAAAAACAAACAGGCACTTTCGAAAAGGAGAAAAGCTAGTCAAACATGCAAACACAAGACAACGAAGAGAAACAAAGACCAAAATACAAAACGCAAAAAACCCAGAACCGACGCATTACCACCACCATCGCTTTTTTCATCATCTGATAAAATTACTGCAAGCTACAAGAAACCCGACCACGATAGCTATCGTATCACACTTTATTTATGTAACGTTAGATATTTTTTGTACAATTAATGTTCAGTATTATACAGAGGAAGCTGAACTTACAAATTGTCGTCGATATGTTCAGGCTTTGGCAAACGGTAACCTTGATAGATTTTTCTCATTATCGTGGTTTCAGACCATCCTTCGTATGGAATACCTCCTGTGGACAAATAAAAGAGCATAACTGTTTTGTTGTAATCACTTACATCTCAATGGGCACGATCGGAATGATTTCAATGTTAAAACGATAGTTATCGAAGAATATTCCTATTTACATCAAACAAAAGATAGAGGAAGAAACGTTTTCAAACAATGTGATGAAATAGTTTATTCATCAGCCACATTGAGTATTGCGATTAGTACTTCTCTCTAATGCAATGCTTTTGTAGCTGTTCATGGTATACCCTTCAGGCGCGTAGCGTCCTCTACGCGTATACGCACGTGCGTACTTAAAGTGACCAGAAAAATTTGAAAACAATGTTGTGCTTGCGCCAAGTTTGGTCAAAATAAGGGCAAGACGCTTTGTTCTTTGCCTGTATTCGCACAACTATTTAAAAGAAGAAATAAAGAACGCAGTATTTTTCGCTCAGTTTACTTAGGTTTCTAGATCATATGTGCTTGTGCGTACTTGAAAAAATGACCACGCTACGCGCCTGCCCTTTCAACTAGCAATTGTTCAAGGAGACTCGGCGAGTATATCATCTGAAAGTAAACTAACAGATAGGTTAACTGAGTACCGATTGTGAAGATTTCAAACAAGACTATGCCATAAGACCACCTGTGGAAGAAATAGAAGGATGACGACCCATGTCAACAAGAGTAGAAAAATAATCTTTAACTTAGATACTTCAAATGTTGTAGAATATTTTTATCAAGATATAAACAATGCCTTAAAGTTAGAAACTCCCTTGTTATTTATTTGATCATTCATTTATCTTTTCATCTCTTTTTTTTTTTTTTCTTCTTAATCAGGTTTTAAGTGTCCCTGTCTGAGAAAGTGCTCCACAGGCCAAAAGTGGTGGTAAACCGATTTGGCTGTAACTTGGCAAAAAAGTCGAGTGTGATAAGATATTTTACCAAAAGGACGTAAAGACAGCAGAGTGACAACAACTCTTAAAATAAAGACAACAACTTTGAGTTTAAATTTACAAGACATGCTTCGACATTCTCATGTCATCTTCAGTTGCAAATGAGCATTCAACTGTTGTACATTTGAATTTAAATTAAGGTATGTTACAAACTACGTGTCAGGGCTTACGTTACATTTAAATGTTAAAAACGCGAAAAATGTAAATAGCGCGCGCTTGACTAGATAAAAAGTAAATAAATATATAAATAAATAAAATAATGACAATAATAAATTAAAAGACCAAGGAGCAACATAATTAAAAGGAAAGAGACAATTCTAGATGTTTCAATTGCTGATTAAGGATGGGTTTTACCAATGGAGTTTTATAGCACTTTCAAAATACCACCTAGAAGGATTAATTTTTTGTAGGAAAAAAATTCATAGGCCACAAATGGGACCCCCCTGAAACTCCGGAACAAATAGTCAGAGAAGTGAGCCAAAGTGACGTTTGAAATATCTTATCACACTCAACTTTTCTGCCAAGCCTCAGGCAAATCGGTTAGCCACCACCTTTGGCCCTACGTACACTTCCTCAGAATAGGACACTTAACTGTTGCCCGTTAAACTCAATACTCATCCAAATCTTATGCTGCAGTTGTACCCTCAGATTTCCCGCCTCGACGTATTCTAATAACACTCTGATCAACAAAGCACTGATTAATCTAAACCCTTACATTCGTCGAATGAGCATCGTAAACAGGTTAATAATGTATATTAATGTCGAGTGCAGTACGTACACATCACTTTTGGTTGACAGCCGTTCCACATGGCCATAAATAATCTCGGGTGCACTCCATTTGATTGGGATACATCCCTGGGTGAGTATTTAGAATACTATAAACATATGTGATTTAAAGACACTGCAATGCAATTTCTGAAATATTTTGCAAAGATGCGAGGAGCCGCGATAAATTCAAGAGCAACACACGTGTTTCTACAAATCTCTTTGGGTCCAGTTCACATGCTTCTTTTTCTTTACATCTCCTATGTTACTGCCTTGGACATGTTTGAGTTGGTATTCTTGCACTTAAAAGAACATTTATCAACTCTGATTTTCTTATTCCTTGCGTTCACTCCTTTGGTACAGTGTACAATTTGTTTTTTGTTTGTATGAAACTTTTGAAACGCTAAGAATGGCATTTCGATAAGGGAAACATGTTTGGCGGTAAAACAGAAGGAAGTAAGGTTCGTCAGAATAGTTCAAGTTTTGGTTTTAGTTTCAAATAGTGGCTTAGTCGACGTGATCAACTTGCATACGCCCATTTTTCGTCTTATTTTTTTCACATTTAAATCTTTCAAACCAATAGCCCCAAAACAAATTTCTCGTATATACCTTAGGTTTACACGTAGAGGAAGCTAACCTCGCATTATGGTCTATGATGTATTTGATCACAGTCAAATAGAAACTCGCTGAACAAGTGATTAAAAAATTCCTCAAAATTACCCTCTTGGCATTTCCTCTGCCGTATTTGAAATCCTGATAAGAGAGCCCAAAATCAGTCAACTTGCATACACGATGCTCATCGAGAAGGATGTTGCGAGCTGCGAGATCGCGATGAATTATCTGAAATTGAAAAAAGGATGTGATGGGCTAGTATCAAAATAAATAAACAACAAACAACTCACATCAAAGGAGAAAGGTAATATAAAGAGGTATGTTTTAGACTATTTTCGTGTGACTCAATGATTCCAATGCGTTTGATAATTTTAATCGAATGGTGATCGATTTGCGAAATGCAAACCAAGAGGAGTTTGTGCACTTACCCCTCTAGACGCGAGAAAAGTCATACCATTTGCGATCTGTTTAGCGAACAGCACCATGTCATATGTTGTCAAGTGGTCGACCCTTCCGACCCCACGATGGTAGTGGTCGAAAACCCCCCTGGATTTCCTGAGGTAACCCAGCAAGTCACCACGCCACAGGTACTCCATGATAAGTATTGGCTGAGCTAAAAAAAGTTAAAAAAAA